AAGTACCAGCTTCAGCTCAGGTCATGATCTTGTGGTTTGTGACTTCAAGCCCCGCATCAGGCTCCGCACTAACAATGCAGAGCCTGCTTGGGATTCTCTCTCCCTCTCTCTGCCCCTGCCTCTCTCTCTCTCTCTCTCTCTCTCTCAACATAAATAAATAAACTTTACAAAAATAAATAAATAAAATTCAGCTCCAGCATAACCTTCTTCATGAAGCCATCCCCAACACACCTGCTGGCTTAAGTCTCTCCTCAGTATTCTCTTAATGTATCTATCATCATGCTACCATACTGCAATGCAATTATCCTTTATGTATATGTCTCCTCCACAAGAAAGTAAGCTTCTTGGGGTGCATGGGTGGCTCAGTCAGTTAAGCGTCCGACTTAGGCTTAGGTCATGATCTTGAGGTTCATGAGTTTGAGCCCCATGTTGGGCTCTGTGCTGACAGCTCAGAGCCTGGAGCCTGCTTCAGATTCTCTGCCTCCCTCTCTCTGCCCTTCCCCCACTCATGCTCTGTCTCTCTCCCTCAAAAATAAACATTAAAAAACATTAAAAGGAAAAAAAGTGAGCTTGTGGAGAACAGACACTGTCTCATTGTTTGTAACCCAGTATCAAACACAATGTTCATTGTAGACGATATATCTAATAATTGATAAGAGCAATTCAAATATTAATAGCAGTTAAGACTAGTGCTGTCATATTTAATCCCTAGCATCCTTTGGGATGCTTTGGGATTGTATAAACAGAGTGTCACTTTTGCAGAACCCAGCTTAGGGTTTCTTGGCTTGCGGTAGGTGCTAAATGATATTTTTTTCAATTGAATGATCAGAACTGGTGTTACTGCTTCTTTGTGTGTGGGGGGAAAGAGATTGGATAGGGAAGCAAGTTACTAAGCCTCTGTAAACGTTCTTTTTCCTCATTTGTATAAGCAGTAATAATACACCTCCTTGGAAGGTTAATTTTAATAGCACATGAAAAGTCATTAACACAGCTTGGAACAGAGCAACCATTAAAATCAATGTTCGACTGAATTATGACTTCGAAGAGCTGTGGTCTTTTTTACATATGGGAAAACGCTTTTCTGTAATTCAGATGTAAATGCAATTTTGAATAGAACAAACCCAACCTGTTTCATTTAATTTCACAATGTATCACTTACCTTTCTTCCGAAGGTGAAGATGAACGAATTGACCAGTTATCTAGAGATAAGTGGGAAGTAAAAAAAAAAAAGTCAGGACACCAATAGAAGCAACTCCGGTTGAACAAGTTTTATATTAAAATATGAAATGATATAATATTTACCAAATTTCATGCTTTTCAGGCAACAGTCTTCCTTCTATTTCAAGGGAGACAATAAGATAAATGTTAAAGGAGTAACCCAAATATCAAAGTTAAATTTATAATTTATTCTCATGTGTGATTTTGAAGAACAGGGGAGAAAGAAATCAACCATTTGTTCTTACCTCCTGGGCCCCTGAACTACCTTTTTCTGGAAGTACAGGTTTCTTATGAAAGGATGTATAAATCTTTATGAGTATTATCTCAAAAATAATTCCTAGGAAAATTATAAAAAAGATTGCCATCCAGTCATTTTGAGTCCAGGACTCTACAAGTTCCCACAATGGCAAAAATGTATTATCTTCCAGTCTATTCCGCTCTGCTCTTTTAAAGAAATAAAATTCCGTTGACATTTTTATGTAAAATGTGAAATAGGTTGAGGTCTCATTCTGAAGTCTTCGATTTTGGATGCTCCAAAACACAAAAAGGTGGTATGCCCATCTCATAACCCCATGCAATGCTCTGCCAGAAAAAAATGTCCAGTGCTGCTCAGTGTCTTGATCAAGTGCAGCAGCTGTGATGGGTCTGGGCCTACGCACAGCACGTGTCATAGTGGGTATTCAACTGAGCTCATATCAACTTACCTTAGCAATAATGAAAGCTCACTAGTGAGACATGTTTGGTGCTTTAGTAGTTTTTTAAATTTAAAAATTGTAAATAATCCTTTATTAATTTCACAAAAAGAAAATATAATTCTATAAACAATCCCTTCGTACATTTGATTACTACCCTGTAATTCAAAAAATGCAGAACAAACTTGAATTAGACATAGCCATTTTCTAGTACCACCAGGAATACTGCATTTTGTGCTTGTGGTTAGGAAAATATGAATGTACTGTTGAGTTAGTAAAAAACAGAACAAAAAAACTAAAGGAAATGCTGCAGTTTGAGTTTCAGACAGATACCAAATCATTTTTTAGTATGTCTCACTGTCACTGGGTGAGATATTATTGTCTGTCTCTTATGGGCCTGCCTGATTTTGTTTTCTTAAGATAGAACATCTCATTTTATACTTCTTTTTGCCAGAGGGGCCTGTTAGCAATGTTCCTCAACAATCTACTGTTACATGCTGAAAACCAAAGGTACATTCTGGAATCGTCTGGTGGTGAATTCCCTTTTTGCCCTATCTCTAGTGATTCCAAAGAACGGCTCCTTGTGAGGCTTCCTGATGTCAGAATTCGCATGTATTTAAGAGCCAGGTTTAAGTACTGCTCACTTTCTCTCAAAGTCTAGAAGGCAGACTCAATTTCTCTTGCCTGGCAGCAGGCATTCTCTAACTCATTTAATGTGAACTACTGTAAACAGTACTCAACGTCTTAACACTTTATAGTTCCTGAGACCTTGCAGAGCTTTATGGCACTGAATCCCTGATTAGTATGCCTCAGACTAGCTCTGTAAGAACTGACAAGGAACCGCTCATGCTGATGGGGAATGTGCAAGAGGTAAAGAATATCCTCCTTTAGAGCTCTGTCATGTTTGTTCCTATGGGCTTGCCTACTAGGGGCGCCTGGGTGATTCAGTCAGTTAAGCGTCCGACTCTTGGTTTCAGCTCAGGTCATGATCTCAGGGTTCGTGAATTCGAGCCCTGTGTCGGGCTCTGCACTGATGGCACAGAACCTGCTTGGGATTCTCTCTCTCCCTCTCTCTCTGCCCCTTCCCCTACTCACACACTTGCTCTCAAAAATAAACTTAAAAAAAAAAAAAAGTCACCTAATTCTGAGTGTAGACACTGATGTCCTTTACACCAGAAACCTCTTCCTGTGTTAATCTCAAGTAAACTGCATAAAAAGTAAAGTGCTAAACTGGATTTATTTCTTAAAATTATGAAGACAATAAAAAAATAAAATAATGAACACCAGAGAAATTCCATCACTAATAGAAATATAGACACAAGAGAACACTCCAAAAAATTGTTTAAGTTTTAAAATATCTATTATATGTACCAAGGTCACATTCTTCACACTATTTGGACATTGTGAAACTAAGCTTTTCCTTTTTTAAAAAAAATTTTTTTTACATTATCTATTTTCGAGAGAGAGAGAGACAGAGCATGAGCAGGGGAGGAGCAGAGAGAGAGAGGGAGACACAGAATCTGAAGCAGGCTCCAGGCTCCAAGCTGCCAGCAGAGCCTGACGCGGGGCTTGAACCCACAAACCGTGAGATCATGACCTGAGCCGAAGCAGACACTTAATCGACTGAGTCACCCAGGTGCCCCTAGGCTTTTCCTTTTTTATGTATCAGGAAAAAATCCCAATAATAGGTGTATAAAACAGCAATATAAAACCAGGGACTGCTCATAGTGGTTAGAAATTCTCCCTTTATAAATATCTTAGTTCAATTACAACAAATATTCAATCATGAATATGTAAGGCACTGAACAACTAAAAAGGGCTCTATGGATACAAAGATCAGTGAAAATCATTCCCTGACATGGGGTATTTGTGATGTGCAAATATGCCAATAATTTACTGAAAAGGCAGCATGTGAACAGAGAGGAAGATACTACTTGAGTTCCAAGGAGGGCTACTTGGTTGGAGTAATTCAAAAAAAAGCTGTGAAGGGGGAAAGAGAATATAAGCATGTTAAAGGATGAGGAGGATTTGATAACAGGTGAGGACCAACAAGAAAGTTTCAGGAAGACGAGGCAGAAAGCCTTGTTCCAAAACTTTGTGTTGTCCAGATTAACCGGAGCGCTGTGCAGGGCTGTGCAGTGTTGTCCAGGTTCATAGTATGGGGGAAATCAGGCTACAATGTTGATAGGGCCTATTGTGAAGAGCTTTGAACCAAGGACTTCAACCTTAGTAGTCACTTTTGGAGATCCATCAACATAGTTTTTGACTTGAGGGTGTCAATTGGTTTGTTGAAGCAAGGAGACCGCAAAATAGGAAAATCAGTTAGGTGACTGCTGTTATACAGATGAGAACTGGTGAAGGCCTGGATTAAGAGTAATGGCAGCATAAACAAGAGAGATGACAGAATCAGACACTGAAAACTCATGATCTGGCAACGTATTTATAAGGAACAAATGGATTTGGAAGGGGGTAGAAAAGCTAATGGTGAGGGAGAAAGGATTTCAAGATAACCCCCAGGTTCTCCACCTGGAAACCACGGACATTGTGGATCAGATCCTGCTTTGTTACGGCTGGCTGCCATGCACATTAGACTGCTGGCCGCATCCCTTTCCTCCGCCTATCGGATGCCAGTAGTACTGCCACCCCAGCCATAACCACCAAAAGTTCCCCGACGTTGCCAACGTCCCTTAGGGGGACAGATCACTCCTGGTGGAGAACGACTGGTCTAGGTAGTGGTCGTGCTATTGAGGGTGCCCACCAGAGGTGGTGCCAGGACAGCTCTTTAACCATAATCTCAAACTTTTCCCTGCAAGACATGGCAAATCTGTGAGGAGCAGCTGGGCCCTTTTCACAAATGTTCATTCCAGCCCTAGACATACCATTCATCTCTCTGGGAGCTGTACACTCCCCAGCCCTGTCCTGGTACACAGCTCTCAAATGACAAGCTATTTCACCAATCAGGAAGTTTCTTACAAGTAACTCTCGGAAAAATCAACTTTAAAAGACCATCTACGTCATCTCTATGTTTGATGTAGTATCTTTGGTCATCTATATTATCCCTATAGTTTAATTTGCCAACAAATAGGACTACATAGCCTGGTTAGTAACCTTTTAACCTTCTTCACTGTCCTTTTTATGTTATGGTCTGCTCTATAGTAAGTTTTCCTTTTTATTTTCCTATTAGTTTTATTTCTGACTTTTAATATTAGTATTTCCCAATTGATTTGTATTTGTTTGTAGACCATAATTATATTTGTCAGCTCTGGATGTGTTTTATGTGTTTATAATACCTTGATATCAGTAGTGTTTTAAAGTTTCAAATGTTAAGCAATGATTATGTACTATGTACTATTTTTTAAAATTTAAGCCTTGTCAGGGGTGCTTAGGTGGTTCAATTGGTTGGTTGAGTGTTTGACTTTGGCTCAGGTCATGATCTTGCAGTTTGTGAGTTCAAGCCCCGCGTCGGGCTCTGTGCTGACAGCTCAGAGCCTGGAGCCTGCTTTGGATTCTGTGTCTCCTCCTCACTCTGCCCCTCCTCCCATCCTCATGCTCTCTCGCTCTCTTTCAATAATAAATGTTAAAAAAAAAATTTTTTTTTAAGTCTCGTTTCAGAAATTTAGTCAAAAAGTAACTATTATATCCTGAGTGACACTGACATTTTGATTTCATAGTGGTACGTAATTTCACTCTGTAATATAAACGATTTGGACACTGTTACCCAGGTTTCTGTTCTTTATGCACTATTGAGAAAAATTAACAAATAATTAAAATCCATGGACCCCACCAGAGAATGAGGGACCTCAAAAGTCAGCAAGCTGTCCAATCCACCTTGAGGCTGTCTGAAGGGCCTAACATTAGACCAGTAGAGAGGCCAGGAAAAAAAGAGTCAGTATCTTACTGTAGAAAAACACCCTTCACTACAAACTTACACATCATCAGCCCCATCACATTTTGTGCCCGTCGTAGGAAATACGGACACTGTGTTTTTAATATATAACTCAACACCATTCCAAGTCCAGTCCAGGTATTGACTGAACTTCCTAAGACAAAATGAAGTGCCCGAAGTCTGCCTAGATTTCAGCACAGATGTATAGTCCTTATTTCATTCTCCTCTTATTCGGAAAGGTCGAGACATCAAGTTCCTCTGTTATAGTTAAGCTCTAAGTATTTACTCATCTTTGCAAACCCAATCAAGCTTTGCCTGTAACAGGCCTTCAGTAAACATTTACTTTTTTAATGTTTATTTATTTTTGAGGGGGAGAGAGAGCGTGGGTGGAGAAGGGGTAGAGAGGGAGACACAGACTCTGAAGCAGGCTCCAGGCTCTGAGCTGCCAGCACAGAGCCCGATGCAGGGCTCAAACTCACAAACTACAAGATCATGACCCGAGCTGAAATCAGACGCTTAACTGACTAAACCACCCAGGTGCTCCCGGTAAACCTTTCTTGAATGAAAGTTGTTACTTCTTTCCAAAAACAATGTTCAGGGTCCCCATATTTGAAAATGTATCTTCCCTCCTATCCCTTAACTGAGATTTAAAAGATTAGGTGAATGAGTGTATACATTCTATAAAACTGATCACACTCAGCACAGTAATGTAATGCTTATTTTCCTTTTTTAAAGACACTGCTCTGCAAAATTAGACTACTTTCTCAGTTGCACAGAAAATAAGACAAAAGTTCTAGTGTAACAAAATTCAAATGTTTAATTTTTTTCAAAACTTAACTATATTAATGAAAATAAATTATATGTAGACCACCTTCAGTATTTGTACATCATCTTT